AGGAGGAGGAGGAGGAAGGAGGAGGAAGGAGGAGGAGAAGGAAGAAGAAAGAAGAAGAAAGAGGAGGAGGAGGACGATGATGATGACAACGATGACAACTAGATTCAAGCAACCATCAACAGATGCTCAAACCATTGGGTGAATGGGTGAAGGTTGGATAAGAAATGGGATATTTACTTAGTCATAAGATATCTCCCTACATTTGCATATCAACTGCAAAGAGGAAAATGGCACCTTAACCCAAAAATCAAGATTAACACCACCCATAACAGGGCAACCAACACCACGTGCCCGTGATGAGATACGAAGGACACAGCATCGTTCCTGCAGCCTTCCTGTCAAACAGCCATAGCCTGAATCTAATTATGAAGAAGCAACTGACAAACCCAAACTGAGATCATTCTCTAAAACAGTTGGCCTGGAATCCTCCAGAACAAGAAGGTCATAAAAGATAAAGAATCCTGAGGAACTGCTCAAAATTAAAGAACGCCAAAAACAAGATGATGGAACTCAGTGTGGGATCGTGGGTTCATCCAGAATCAGGGGAAAAGTGCTAAGAAGCTGTTTTTAAAGCCATGAGTCGGGACTTTGGACTCTTGTTATTTAAGGATTTTATTTATTATTAATGGGATTTGATTAGAACATAAAATCAGAACCATTCCTGCATTTACAAAGAGATATTATAGGACCAACTAAAAGCTTTTTACCTTACACACCCTCAGAGCATTTATTACCTTACACACCCTCAGAGCATTTCTGTACTTGGCCTCACTTGGCCTTCGCCATGTCACGTGGTGATGTCATCAGGGCACCATCAACCACGTCTACAGATGGAAAACTGTGGCTCGGGAGGGCATTCCTGCATTTTCCATGGCACTTTGCTACCTTTCTTTGACTTACCTTGCCATAGAACATGGTGACCAGGCAGCTTGACGGCAGCTGTGTTTGAGGACTTAGAGTCACACAGATCAGGGTCAAATCCCTGGCCTTGGGGCATGTTTCTGATCTTTTCTAGGCCTCAGTTTCCTCTGTGGTAAGCTGGGAACAATCCCGGTACCTAGCACATTGCATCACTAAGAAGACTGAGGTCACACGTAAAAAGCACTAAGGCTGGACTGCTCACTTCCGAAGCACAGCCTCCAGGATTGAACTCCAAGTCTGCTGAAATCCAAGCATGAAGCTACAATGTATAGTCCTGCCACCATTTTTAATGTTGAGCTAATTAACATTAACTAACCCAGGCTCTTTCCTACCTACAAAGATACTCACTTTCGCTCCTTCTTATCCGTTGGCCTGTTGATTTCCCTGAAGATGTTTGACAACACCCCATCGGTCCAGTCTCGGGTGGTTGGGTCCAGGATGCCATAGAGTTCTATGACACTCACGGCTTTGGGGTTCAGGATGTACAACTTTGTCATCAGCCCAAGCCTAAATCAAGAGAGGCTTTAGCCATGGTTCAAGCAAACTAAATGCATGAGGAAAACAGTCTGGGTTCCCTCTGTGAGGAATTAGATGTTTTGAATTCAAGCCAAAATTTAAAATGCAACCCATGCAAACTCTTCACTGGGCTTCCCTTCACTGTTAGTGCTTTCTTCTAAACATAAAGCAACCACATTTCACCAAAAATGTGGCCACAGCACAAATGAGGTCTGAACTAGAAGCACAGCTTCGCCTCTGGAGGGCGCCGAGAAGCTAACTTTCATGTATATTTCATATTTATGCATATTCCATATTCATATATATGGCATTTAAGTAAATATCTCAGAATTAAGGGCGTATAGGAGACCGTACTCAGTCATCCAGGATAATAACAAAGCTTTGAACTACAAATGTTCGATCCTTCTTACTTCAGAACAACATCTGCTCTGTGCTGACTTCATGGATCAAGCAGACAGGGCACTTCTCACCATAGTGCCTGTAAATCCCCGCAGCCCTAACTATAGGATTAATTCAGCCAAAGAGAACTAAACATCACACACTCCACAGTTCACAACCAACAAATCAGTAAGTCATAATAATGTACATGCTACATTAGACATACATA